TTCGTGTATGTGCCTATGTGTATGTTTCGGCATGTGTACTTGTGCATGTTCGTGCGTGTGTGTGTGTATGTGCATGTATGCATACATGCGTGTGTGCTTGTATGCGTGTTTGTATTTCTGGTTGCGGTGTGTGTGTTTTAGTGCTTGTGCATGTTTGTTTTGTGCGTGCCTGCATGCGCACTTGTGTGTTTGCATATTCTCTCTCTCTCTCTCTCTCTCTCACACACACACGCACACGCATACACACACACACACATATAGATGTATATATGTATGTATGTATGTATCCATATGTATATATATATATATTTATTTATTTATTTATATATTTATTTCTTTATTCATATATGCATAAATATATCTATGTATGTATGCATGTACACACACACACACGTATATTTATACACACACACACACACACACACACACACACACACACACATATATATATATATATATATATATATATATATATATATATATATATATATAACCCAATAACATCGGGGAAAATGAATAAAAAGTGGGGAAAATGCTGTACTCATTTTTCTTATTTTTGTGAAATGTCTCTGGTGTTATTTTTATCATAAACATTATTATTATAATGTTATAAATATTAGTAACAGCAAAATAAGATAACGTAAAATATTTTCGTAAATGAAAGAAAAGGGTAAACGGGCGAGACAGGCAGTACTCATAACTGGCTCACTGGTGACTTAGTACAAGTGTAGCCATCTATGTGTTAAAACAATTAAAGAAGTAAACTCACAGTGGGGATGGCATGTACGTACATATCATGCTTGTCGGTAATGGGATATATATGTATGAATACAAACATATGTGTATGTATGTATATAGCTTTATAATTACTTATATATGTATTTGTATCTGTATAGATGTATATATATATATTCATACATATATATATGCACACACGCACACACACATATGTATATGTATATTTATATATATACATACACATAGACACACACACACACATACATATATATAATCTTAATTTCGCTACTTGAGTCCTCCTTTATAAAGCCAAATCATCAAGGTCCTTTGGAAGGCCAAGGGATGAAACGCAGCAAAGTTCGTCCTTTCCATTTTTCCTCAGACCCCCGAGTGTGGAAGGAGGGGAGGGAGGGAGAGAAAGGAGGGCGGAGAAAGGTGAGGGAGAAGCGAGAGACGGAGTGGGGGGGAGGTAGAGAGAGAAAGAGAGAAAAGGGGGAGAGGTAGGAGAGGAAGAAGATGAGAGAGCGAGAGAGAGATAGGTTAGGGAGAAGCGCGAGACGGAAGGGGGGGGGGGGTACGGGGAGAGAGTGAAAGAGGGAAAGATAGAGAAAGGGGAAGAGGTAGGAGAGGGAGAAAGAGGGAGAAGAAAAATAGAGAAGAGAGAGAGAAAGAAAAATAGAGAAGAGAGAGAGAGAAAAGAAAAATAGAAAAGAGAGAGAGAGTACATGAGTGAGTGAAAAGAGAGATATATAAATAGAGTGAAAAAAAAAAGAGCGAGAGAGAGAGAAAGAGAGAGACTGACATTCAATCAGGTTAAGAGAAAGAAAATGAATGGGAGAGAAAAGGTGAAGAAGTGGGGGAAAAAGAGAATGAAAGAAAAAGCTAGATAAAGAGGTAAAGAGGGTGAGCGGAAGGGTGAGACAGGCAGAGAGAGAGAGACTGAAAGAGAGAAAAACGGTAAGAAATGGGAGAGAGAGAGAAAATGATAGATAAATAGATAGAGAGTAGGAGAAAGGGGAAAGGTGAGAGAGACGCAGAAAAAGAGGGAGGGGGAAGGAAGGGAGGGAGAGAGAAAGGAACGAAGAGAGAAAGATAGGAATGTAATATATCCATATATGCTTTTTTTTTCTGTGGTGAGTGGTGATATTTGTCCTTAATGATCCTTGAATTATGTTTTAGCAGTGATATTCAAAATAACGTTTAACATTAAAGTTGTCAATGAGAAACCATCTGTTCAGATCATACAATGGAAAGGCAAACTACAGCCATTAGTCAATACAATCCCCATTAGCACTTTTCCCGAATATGGCCCATTATTTACTGAGGGTTCGTTCTCTGTTCCATCTGATGAGGAATAACATGTCAGCGACCAGGAACGCAATGGAGATGAAGAAAAGACAATGTAAAGAGGAAAAACGTGAATGAAACACACATAGAAAGAGAGAAAGAGAGAGTGGGGAGGAGGAATAGGGAATGATAGAGAAAGAATGGAGGAACAGTGGGTCGATAAACTGACAAGGAGAGAAGGCAGGAGATGGCAACATACGCTTTCCTAAGCACCAGATTTTTTGTTTGTTTGTTTGGATGGTTATTAGTGGTTGCATTTTGATTCATACATAAAATGATTGTGTAACAGAAATAAAAGTATTGGGATATTCTCTTTTTTAAATGTACAATAGAAAAATAGGCCGCACCTCTCTATGCACAGCGCAGTACCCTATACTAGAGTCCACAGATAATGAATAATGCTTGGGATGCAAAACGAAATGCGTTTGTAGGATCTGCTGTTTTAGGACTCGCGATACCAAGAATGATTAGATGCTGATTAGAATGATCTGTGATATATTGACATGTGGGTGCAAGTGCTCTGCAATCCTCTGTTTAGCTGTAACTTTACAGTAAACTGACCAACGTCATTTAGTGTCATTTTCGGATTTTCAGATGTAACTACGGTTGCAGATCAAAATGGTACAATTTATAATGATCGAAACAAGCTGATTTTAGAACTGAATTAATGTGTTAGCTCCTAATGTCAGCAAAACATCGTCTAAATGTTCGTGTTCATTATTTTCTATTAGATCTTAATATAAACAAAGTTAAAAGACTATAGAAAGACTGCCATTTTAAAACAAGCACAATTGTATGCATATATATGTATCTACGTGACTATTAACACGTGTATCCCTCCGTGCTCCTGATTTTGCGTCAACAGGAAAGGCATAAGATAGTATACGGATATATCCCGGATGCAGAAGAAAAATAAAAAATCAAGAAACCAAAGCGGCAAATAAGGTGTAAGAAATGAAAGTAGAAAAGATAAGTTTTTGTGTATATATATTTATATACATATGTATACATATATATGTATCTCTCTTTCTCTCTATATATACATATTAGAAAGAAAGAGGGGAAGAAAGCGAGAGGAAGTCAGAGATGGTGTGTGCGAGAAAGAGGGGGGGGGGGGCAGGGAACGATGAACGCAAAGAGAGAGAATTATCATCATGAACACCAGCAGTGATGTTACTTTCACAGCATCTGTAAATACTGTTTACATTAGTACTATGATTCTATATGATTATTTTCGAGAAAAAAACGCAAAATATGCACACGAATGAAAATGTGATAAGTGTCTTTTCATGTAGACATATTGGATAAATTTGTTCTTGAAAAAACACGTACTCTGCCATGCTGGAGATATTCATACACAAGTCTTTTGCTCAAGAATACTGACTTCCCCTATACTCCCTCTTATAATATTCCTGAAAACTGCCCCACAGTACTGGGAGGTATTCTTGATGACGATTCGATTGAAAGTCATCCCCCGGAATTCTTCGCTCGCAAGAAGCGGGTCACAGACTCACTTCCCGCTCAACGCGTGCCACAGGTAAAACCTGTGGCCCTCCGAGGCTGTGGACTCGGCTGGCCTCGCTTACAGCTCAGATCTGCCTAAGTTTGGATATGAACCGATAAAACTCGGATCACTGATGAGGTTGTCAATTAAGGTGCATTTACCGATTTAGATCTGTCACTAGTTAAGGTAAGGTTACGAGTTGTGATCCAGTCACCGACTAAGGTCACCAATCAATTAGGATTTACTATGCTTCTTTCCTTTTACTCTCCCTTATTTTGAGTTTTGTTCTATTGTGTGGTTATCTGCTGCAGTTGCACATGAGACTGCTTCATCGTCCTTTTAATTCTATTAGATTTGGACACTGGGCATCGTGGGGATTTGAGGGCACATTCAGTCATATACAAGCTTTGGAATAGATTGCCTTCAAAGATTGTAACTTCTCCGACTTTTTATAAGTTTAAAAGATTAGCTAATATGTTTTTACTACGTAAAAAAAAAAATTTTTGTTTCTCTTTTAGCTGTTTTTTTTTTTTTTTTTTTTTTTTTTTTTTTTTTTTTTTTTTTTACCTGCACTGACAACTTTGGTGATATGGTGATTTTTTTTTTAGTGTGATAGTTTATATGGCTTACCATAATAATAATAATTCTGTCTCCGATGCACAGGAAACTATCGCCCTTATTTCCCCGACCTCCCTGTGTCATGGTGGAAAATGCCCAGACATTCCTGTTTTTTTTTTTTTTTTTTTTTTTGTCTTATCCTTATACTGTATATTTCAGGTTATGGAATATATGTACATCGGATTTATATATTTAAGAAGTAACCCTAACTACATACTAAAACAATTAAACCTTCTTTAACCATTAGCAATGAGCTAATTTATCAGAATTCTAAATGCCTGAAAGATGACCAGCCTCTGTAAGGCAGAACCGCACACAGCAAACCCTCAAGTGACCCTCACCAGGTGTGAGGGTCACTTCGCCGCAGGTAGGGCGAAAGGCTTTTCATGAAAAGGCCCATACTGAACTCTGTCGCCTCAGTCTCCAGTGGTACTAGAAGCGGTTTGGTGAACCACGGAATTCATATAAAAAATCTCGGCATTACATTCAAATAGTTTTTGGCTGATATGGTCACAACGATACCTCAATTTAATTGAAAAGTACATATTATACTATATGCTTAGATGGAAGTTTAGTAATTACTATATTGGTGCCATAAATATACGTGTAATTCTAATCTACAAATATATATATATTTGCTTTACCTACTCTAATCTTCGTAAAAAGCTGACAACCATTAAATTCTTAAAAAAAAAAAAAAAAAAAAAAAAAACTAGTGAGAATATGGCACCTTAACAAGACTTCCTGTATGAATTTAACGTTTCTCAACAGGATAGATGTGTAGACGTCGTCC